GCTGCGAGGTTTTCCAGGTCGGATGTAAAAGACTAAGAACAAGGCTTTCAAAGGAATTATAATCTAGTTTAGGTTTAGGGCTGATTAATAGACTAGAGTTATAAATGGCTGCAACTCCCCCTCTTCGGCCGCTTCCTCAAGGAATGTAGGTATTATTATGACTGGGAGGAGTGGATTCATTTAGACTGACATATTCATCTTGACACAGCCAGGTTTCAGTGAGACTGAGTAAATCAATATGATTATCTGATATTAATTTGTTTACTAACACTGCTTTAGATGATAGAGACCTGATATTTAACCGTCCGCATTTAATTCTCCTGTTTTGTCTTTAATCCATGATGATGTTTTCATGGAGATGCACCTCACCCAAAATATTATGAAGGAATGTGACTTCAAATTTCACAAGATGCCTGAGTACATTCAACACTTTCAAGTTGACCCCTTTGGATTACATATACTGAAACAGGAATAAGCATAGTTGTGCAACACCTAAGAAGACCCCACTGGCCTTATACCTAGATGCTACAGGCAATGTCCCGGTCAGACCAAAAGACTCCTTTACTACTCTCTCACTCTTCCTGGAAGTGGTCAGAATTTACCTCCCCTTCCAGTCTGTTAAATGCTGACAAATGAACATTCTGTCCCACCAATCACATTCTGGCTAAGGCAGTTCCTTCGAAAATTGTCACAGTACACAAAACTGAGAGTACATCAAGTTGAAACAGATGACAGCTGGGCACTATTCCAAAGTGTTCTTCTGTATTTCAACAGGGAGAGCACTGTCAGCTACTTGGACAGAGCTTTTGCTATTTGTTAAAAAGAGATGACTTGGAAGAATATCCAAATGTCCACAGTGCCACACATATGCTCTGTACACGCACTGAAAGCTGTCACCCACTCAATTGGGATAAAAACAGAGGTTTGAAAGAGTTTGCAACATTTGCATTTGCCAGGTTGCAAAATGCTACTTCAGGACCACAGCACTGAAAAACTTCTGTGTACTGTGCCATGTGTTGCTTTCCAAACCCAACACCAATGCTATGCAGATAAATGAAGGCCATGCAGGCTCTAACAAAAGAATGCAAGATTTCTGACGTGGCAGAGACAGAAAAAAAAAAAGGATGGCCCCTTGGCTCAGGAGGAACATGATGATGAGAGAAGAAATGCCCACACAATTTTTAGCAGATCTTCTTTCACATATGAGTTCAAGAAGGTCTTTGATGAGGTGCAGGGAGAGATTGAAAAAGAAGATGACAAGACCCCAAATGAAGAGGAAAATCCATACTTCTGCCCAGGCATTGTTGATGTCAATCTGGGCTATCCAGATTTGCCATCATTACATGTCCTTCTGTGTGCCTGTATTTTATATTAATTTTTATATCAATTAAAAATAAATAAATAAATCTTTGTTACTAAATTCTTACATTTTTCCATGTATCTCACCATAGCAAGTTGGAAGTAGACATATTCTACCATATATGAAGAGGGGAGACTCTCTGGAATCTGGCAATATAAGAACCATGATGGTGGGACATTCTGTCACTTCACAGTTGTCCAAAACATGTGGCTTGTGCCAGGCGGACATTTTCATTATTGCAAGAAATTCCATTGACTCATCCACATTCATACATAATTTCTAAAATATTATGCAACGTTTATTTTGGGAATGCACCAAAAAACCGCTCTGACTGAACCCCTGTTTTCCACTACTGTCCACTGGGTAGAGCTTCTAAACTAGAAAATGTAATGGGTTGTGGAAAAAGGACTTTCTGTAATTGTTGCCATAAATATTCTGCTTAAAAACAATTAAAAATGAATAAAAACCTTTAAAAGATAGGTGTTTTCACTTAGCAGTTATGGTCTCTTGATGTTTGCAATTAGTGTTGTAGTATGATCAGCAGGAGACCATTAAAGTGTGAAGCGATTTGGGGGAGACTACACTGCATAGCATTTAATCTACTGAATAATTTTCTACAAAACAATTCAGAAAAATTATGAAAAAGCATATTCCTCCAAATTGAGTGTTGTAGTATGATCAGCAGGAGACCCTTAATGTGTGTAGTGATTTTGGGGAGACTATACTGCACAGTATTGAATATATTGAATAATTTTCCAAATAAAAATTCAGCAAAATTATGACAAAGCATATTCTTCCAAAGTGAGTGTTGTAGTATGATCAGCAGGAGACCCTTAATGTGTGAAGTAATTTTGGGGAGACTACACCGCACAGTATTGAATATATTGAATAATTTTCCAAATAAAAATTCAGGAAAATTATGAGAAAGCTTATTTCCCCAAAATGTATGTTGCAGGATGATTAGCAGGAGACCATTAATGTGTGGAGTGATTTTGGGGACGCTACACTGCATAGTACTGACATTATTGAATAATTTTGTTACATCTCTTTTTGGTGTTGCATTTTGTAGACGGCTCTTGGGCATTTGTTTCACAATCGGTTGTACATAGAGATCAATGTTATTGGCCGAGCTCAAAAGACGGCTTGTTCTGATGAAATTAACGTTGTAGCTTGTTGTCTACTTTACCAAGGTAAGAAAGTAATGTTGTATGTGCTTCAACAACATCTCCTTTATGAGTTATTGACCCGTGAAGTCCGAATCTGTGAATATTTGGGGGACATTACACTGCACAGTATTGAATCTACTGAATAATTTTCGCAATAAAAAATCAGCAAAATTATGACAAAGCATATTCTTTTAAAGTGAGTGTTGTAGTATGATCAGCAGGAGATCCTTAATGTGTGAAGTGATTTTGGGGAGACTACACTACATAGTATCAAATCTATTGAATATTTTTTCTAATAAAAATTCAACAGAATTATGAAGAAAGCATATTCCTCCAAAGTGGGCATTGCAGTATAATCAGCAGGATAACATTAAAGTGTAAAGTGATTTTGGGGGACACTACACTGCGTAGCATTGAAACTATTGAGCAATTTTCTCCAAAACAATTCAGCAAAATTAAGACAAAGCATATTCCTCCACATTGAGTGTTGTAGTATGATCAGCAGGAGACCATTAATGAGTGAAGCGATTCTGGGGAGACTACACTGCATAGTATTGAATCTACTGAATAATTTTCCCCAAATCAATTCAGCAAAAATTAGGGCAAAGCATGTTCCTCCAAATTAAGTGTTGTAGTATGATCAGCAGGAGACTAATAAAATGTGAAGTGATTCTTGGGAGACTACACTGCATAGTATTGAATCTATTGAATAATTTTCCCAAAATAATTCAGCGAAATTATGACAAAGCATATTCCTCTAAATTGATTGCTGTAGTATGATCAGCGGGAGACCAATAAAGAAGTGATTTTTGGGGACACTACCCTGCATAACACTGAAACTATTGAATAATTTTCCCAGTAAAAAAATCAGCAAAATTATGACAAAGCATATTCTTCCAAAGTGAGTGTTGAAGTATGACCAGCAGGAGATCATTAAAGTGTGAAGAGATTTTGGGGGCACTACACTGCAAAAGACGGCTTGTTCTGATGATTCTGAAATTAACATAGCTTGTTGTCTACCTTACCAAGGTAAGAACGTAGTGTTGTATGTGCTTCAACATCTTGTGAAGACCCGCTAAGTTGGAATCTGTGAATATATGTCCAACTTTACCAAACTCTAAGCCTGCAAAAAAAGAGGAATTCCACAGAACTGCAGGTTTGTCAGTGTTAACAAGAAATGAATCTACATAGATACATTATGCAATGATTCATGAATACTTTACATATATTCAAATATTCCGCGGTGTAATTTGGATCAGCAAACACACTCACCTTGCAGCATGGTCTCAAAGAAAAGGGATTCAAATAGGCCACTCCCACACTTAAATAACCTTCCTCTTCCTGGATTTTCTCCTGAGAGGACTGATTGGTAGATCTCACCACCTGATCTCAAGAAGTTATGTACCCTGCTTAGTAGTTCCCCCTGCTGGCCCCCAACTGACATTATTTTTTCTCATCCAGATCCACTGACTAGCTCTGGCTGCTTCATCTGACATTTTCTTCACTGTCTTCCTCAAACTCTGTCCCTGCACTCCAAGTTCCCCCAGGAGGGAGACAGCTGATCTTGCTATGAATCCCCTACACCCCAATTCCACTGGACAAATCCTAGTTTTCCATCCTCGCTGCTCAGCTTCTGCTCCTAAGTCTGCATAACTAAGCTTTTTTCTTTCATAGGCTTCTTCCACTGAGTCTTCCCAAGGAACTGTTAGCTCAGTGAAATAAACTATCAGTTGACTCACTGACCACAACACTATGTCAGGCCTCTGCTTGGTACAAACTATTTCCTGGGGAACAACAAGCTTTCCCCCTAAATCTACTTGCATTTCCCAATCACAAGCACAGTTGAGATATAAAAATGTTTCTATATTTTCTGTAGACACATTAATTCATCACAATACATAACGTCACTTCACATTACCTATTAACACACTCTGTGATCTTTTCCCATCACACCTCACATTGTTTAGCTTTAGCTGATGTAATAGATTTTTTTTCATGTCTTCCTTCAGTCATTAAAATCTCCGATTCAGTTGGGATGAAACAAGTGACTTTCTGCTTTCTGCCACTGAAAATCATGTAATCTGCACTCTACTGATGATGTCTTTTGGTGCTCGCCGTGAACACGCTTCCCTCAGACTAAACATACTCAGAGTTAATTGAACTGATTCTGATCAGCTGTTCTGGAACCGAAAACTCAGAGTTTCTCAGCTCAAGCTCAGTCAACCCAGAGATCGGGATTAGGCTCAGAGTTTATTGAGCCTGCTTTCTGAAATAGGGCCCAGGTCTGTATGAATTGTGATAACCAAAGATGAGCCCATGATTGTGCTCTGAAACTAACTGGTCCAACATTTCTATACTTTCTTACTTGCCTTTGCATATTTTCTGCAAATTACAATTTTTTCATAAACTCTGTGACTGTGTGAAGTAGCAGTTCGTGAGGACTTAATCCCTTATGTTCATTCTTCCTCCCATAGTGCCTCTGATGGCTGGTCATCTCCTCAAAATCTCCTCTCTGGCCACAGCAGTGTTCGCCACATCTGGGTTTTACATCTACGGCAGACAGCTGGACCTCAATGACTTGAGTGTCATTCGCTTTGGCCGTGCTGCAGCCACTGTGAGTTACTGCACACCTCTTCCACAATACTCATGTTTTTGTCTTGATGCTTTTATGTTTGACATTTTTTCAGTTTTATGTATCAGCAAGCTTAGTGGGTCAAGCCAGCTATCTGTGACCTTAACTCAGATTTTCATCCTTAACCCGGGTAGATTATCATGGCAATCTATGCTGCAAAGCAAACCTTCTCTGGAAAAGGTTAACTTCAGAGGATCAAAACCTGTCAACAGCCCGACTATGCTGACTGCTGAAATGAATCCAAAAGCATTGCTGAAAATGCAGAAATACTTAACAAATTGTGTGAAGATCTTAAAATCTGGCAGAAATTGAAGCTGAACTCATTACTGAAAGATGCTTAGAGCTGAAACACATTTAGGTCGAAAATAAGCTATGATAGTGTCAAAGGTGGAAAATTGAAATTAACTGAAAAGGTTGAAAGATAAAAATGTTTCATACTTTTAAAAAAGTATTAAAAAGTTGAATACAAGCATAAATGTCCTTGATGAGCTTAACCTTTGGACATCTGAATGGTTTCTGTTGCTGAAAGTATGCACAAGTTTGATGGCTCAATCAGGGAGGAGTTGGTTAACTTTTTTGGAAATGAAGGACTCTCTAGATACCTCTCCAACACTACTATGGGAAACAGGTAAGATGGTAATCAGAGGGAAAATTCTATCATATCAGAACTCTGCTGAGTTTTATCAGGAGTGCTCCAAGACAACTTGAGATTTGGCCTATTTCTTTCTTAGCCCGCTCTTGGCAATTTTTATTTAATTTGTTGTTGTTGATGGCAGCCATGTTTTCTGAATAATCTTGCTCGGATTCTGTATATCAGTGCTTCAAAGCTGCATACCATATTAGGTGTTGATAGAGTCAAAATCCAAAAAAAGTCAATACATATTAGTTTTTCATATGATGCAAATTAGCAAACAATTCATCATGGTAGCCTGAATTGTCCAAAATACTTTTTTTTTTATAGAGGACATTGAGATATAGGTTTGTAAAATTGTAAATCAGTCAGACTCACAGGGCGTGGCCTGTCAGAGTTAATTACAGCATCACCATGTGGCTGATTTGAGTCATATTTCTTGGAAAACATTTGAAGCTCACAGCAATTAGAGTTAGGGTGGCAACAAATAATAATAATAATAATAAAAGTTGCTGCAAGTTGCAATCCAGGGATCAAGCCCTTTCCCAGCCAACAGAGGGAAGCAGCTCAGTTTCCCAAATCACGTCTGCAAGTGGCAATAAGTGGGTTTTAGGCTCACAAAGCTAACGGAAATCACTTCAGCATTGTTCATTGTTCATGAAGGTGGAGTGAGACCAATCATACACTTGTTTCATCAAAAATATCACACTCAAAATCTCACCTTAATATCCCCCTTTATCAGATATGAGTAAAACCTGGTGGGCACATTCAGGATTGAGTGCAGGATGTGTTTACTGAGTTTAACCAGAATTGCTCAAAGATAACTCAAGCAATTTCTATTTCTTTGTAGGAAAAATTAAAGTAGGATTTTGTATGTCAGTCCCACAGGGTTGTACACCAAATCTGATGCTGATATATTCCTACTCCAAAAAAGTCTATTGATTTTACCGTATTTCACATTTTGTAAATTAGCAGATTCATTCAAAAAAACATGTCTTTGGAGTCATCGGGTGGGAACCTCCTTTTACCAGTGTTCCGTCTAGTTGGTCCCACGACACCTCCAGGAGGCTAGACAGTGATCTCTGGTGTCCCAGAGACACTCCCCTAATGCCAGGTCTCACTGCTCCCCGCACCCATCCAATAACCTCCTTTACCTTACTTACGCATTGCTTTCTCAGCCCAAACAGCACTGCCACCTTCAGCACCCTCAGGGTCTGTACATGCGAGCTCCAGGTAGAGACAGTGCTCATACTAGCACATTCACTATACTCTGTTTCACATGCTACATAGCATAACATCAATATAAGCTAAAGTTAAAGGAGATAGATAAACTCACAGGATCAGCAAACACACTCACCTTGCAGCATGGTCTCAAAGAAAAGGGATTCAAATAGGCCACTCCCACACTTAAATAACCTTCCTCTTCCTGGATTTTCTCCTGAGAGGACTGATTGGTGGATCTCTCCACCTGATCTCAAGAAGTTATGTACCCTGCTTAGTAGTTCCCCTTGCTGGCCTCCAACTGACATTATTTTTTCTCATCCAGATCCACTGACTAGCTCTGGCTGCTTCATCTGACATTTCCTTCACTGTCTTCCTCAAACTCTGTCCCCGCACTCCAAGTTCCCCCAGGCGGGAGACAGCTGATCTTGCTATGAATCCCCTACACCCCAGTTCCACTGGACAAATCCTAGTTTTCCATCCTCGCTGCTCAGCTTCTGCTCCTAAGTCTGCATACCTAAGCTTTTTCTTTCATAGGCTTCTTCCACTGAGTCTTCCCAAGGAACTGTTAGCTCAGTGAAATCTGTTGACTCACTGACCACAACACTATGTCAGGCCTCTGCTTGGTACAAACTATTTCCTGGGGAACAACAAGCTTTCCCCCTAAATCTACTTGCATTTCAATCAATCTATCAATCAATCAATTTTATCACAATCACAAGCACCTTCTAGGCGGCCACACCCTTGCCTCCTTACTAACTTATCCCTTCTGTATTTCTCCCCCTCATGGACAAACTGAATTGCTAAACTCCTATCCTTAACACCTTCTGAATTTACCTGTCTTCTCTGTCTCCACACCTGGTTATGTCGCCATGTATATCTGCCATGTGACAAGCTAACTTTACAGCCTGACAAAATATGCTTGCAGGTTGCGGTACCTGAACACAATGGGCATGATGGGTCCCCATTTACCCACAGTTTTAGGTTCTGGGGGGTTGGTAACACATCGTATGTAGCCCCTACCAGGAATCTAATAAGATTCTCCTCCATACTCAACAGGTCCCTCCAACTAAGCTTCCTCTTCTCTACACTTTCCCAATTCAACCACTGTCCCTGTTTAGCCTGGGCCACTACCTTTGCACCCCTTAATATCTCCTCCTGTCTACGTATCTGTTCTACAACCAGCTTTCTTTTATTTTTGGGACCTGCTTTTTTCGATACTGGTTTGCCTGAGCCAAGCCCCAGGCCTCCCCAGCCAAACTGAACATTACCTACAATCTCTGCATGCCTAAGAACTGCCTCTGCCTCCTGAACTGCCGATATTGAGTTCCACTTCCTCCCCTTGGTTGGATTTGGAACCACACTCCTAACTACCACTAGCCTGGTTCCAGACCATAGACCCCGCCCACTCAACTGAGTAGGCTTGCATCTCTGGTCTGGCATACTGCAATGAATTTGCTATTTATCTCGTCCAAAAGATGGAAGGACCAATGAACGCCGGTGGTGGAGGCGGGTCTAGCAATTAGCCAATCAGCGCCACGCTGATATCAAGCTGTCTGCTGGTGGGTAACTAGTGAGGATAGCAACAATGCCGACCGCTACAGATCCTACAGACCACATTAACAATGCTATCAAGGTATTTCGCCACTACTCGCATTAATGGAGGACCAAATTAAGGAAGCTGCTAAAATGGATTTAACGGCGATGCAGCTGGGCGTGCACGACGACAGAGACATTTTAAACGGGCAATACTCGCTTGTTTTCGGCACCCCCGAGGCATGGATACACACTCAAAAATAGAGGTACCAGCGTGTACCTAAAAGGGTACAAATGCTTGTCGCTGGGGGTGTACCTTTTTGAAAGACATTTCTGTACCCTTCAGTCCTGGTCCATTTCTGTACCTTATCAAGTTGTACTAGTTAAAGTACAATTATGTACCCTGCAAGACATAAATGTACCTTTAAACTATAGTACAGAAATGTTCCCATTGAAAAGGGTACAATTGGATACTTAAAAGGGTACCCCCCCAGTGACAACCTATTCTGGACTTTAAAGAGACAAAAATGTACCTCAATTGTCCACAATATTTGCTTTGTGACTGTTTATTTTCATTAAAAGATGATAAAAATTTCATTGTGAATATATATTGTCACATAAAATAAATACATGTCAAAGTCTTAAACCATCACATCAACATATTTACACAGAATACCTCAAGGAAACAAACAATCTATCATCAACTAAATATGTGTCTAGAGCTTGATAGTCTATCTCATTTCCTGGATTGAGCAGAATCCAGTCACTGTCAACTGTCACTTGGTAAGCATGGAAATGACTGTCATAAGAGCAAGGAAATAACAGTTTCCCACACAACACCCAAAAAGTGTCAACGTTCAGAATGTACTTGACTTTCAAGAACAAAGGGATGGCTTCAGTATGTACATGGCCTACTACAAAAACATCCTCAAGGGCATATTTGACACCACTGACAGATATAGCAGACACACGCTGAAGCACTTTATCCTGAAACTGCACATCTTTAAAACTTTTGTTTAATTGCAGAGCATTCTGTAAATCACCTGGCAGACATGAAAATGGTACACAAATGCTTTTGCTGAGCGCATTTTCAAAGTCACCTAGGAACCTATCTGAAGAAAACTCCAGCATTGTTTCATTTGATGACGGTTGCTGAGAGTCGCAGTTATGTTTACAAAGTTCCTGCATTTGCTGGCTATATTTTTGAAATATTGATGCTTGCTTTCATACCTCATACACCACAAAGGGCGAAGAGGACCGTATATCAATATCAGTCTAGGATAGTGAATCAAGTAGTGACACTTTGGTGTTAAAACATCTCCAAAGACTTCAGTAGTCTTATCAAGGAATTCTTGAATCAGCAATTTTAAATGAGCAAGCTCATCTTTTCTCACTTTTGTAGCCATTATGATATCCACGATTTCTGAACATAGTAAGAACACATGCCAGTATGGACTACCAGGTGGAATATGGTGAGCCATTAAAAAAGGCAAGAGCCTGAATAAGCACCATTTTTGACTGGCTGATCCAACTATGTTAGAATTTCGAAGAATTTTTTCAGTCAGTGGCACTGGTTTGTTTGGTCTGTCATTCT